CACACGTTGGTAGTCGACCAACACACGTACGCGTCGACTACCTTCCGTTGGCGAAATCCAGATGTCCACTGGTGTCCTGGTGTCCAGATGCCCTGGCACGGACAGGCCAGGGCCATATGCAGAGGGCAGCACGGTCAGGCTCAGTTCTACTCTCCTGGCGCGCCTGGCAAGAGCCCACGATACGTTCAATGTTTGTCCATGCGAGACCACCGTGCGCAACCCCAGGCAAAGGCTTTTATCCGGCCAATGCGCGGATGAGTTACATGACGCTCCGCCAACACAGCCTCACGTGCTTTACTGGGTGTGATAACTCGACATCCCCACATCAGAACACCGGAACAAGCAGACAGTTCCAGTCGTTTGGTAGAGAAACACGGACAGTTCAGGGTCAGAGCCGGGAGCATGAGGCAGCATCTGCCCTACCTCTCTCTGAAGCAGATTGGCGGCTGCACCGACCTCAAACGGCAAACGCGAGAAGCGCAGGAGATTTTTTCGGTGTGTTTGCAGTCAGTATGCCTCTTGAGTATTCATAGACAACGAGCTGGTTGTACGCCTGCGCTAAAACTATCGTACTTGTCGTTGGCCTCTTGTCACTTATCCTTCCGCTAGACGTGCAAAAAGGTCGTGTGCGTGGTGCAGGCGATAGCTGTCCAGCTCCACAGCTCGATTGTCCGTGAGCTTGAAATTCACACAAACCCGGGTAGAGCTGTCCTTTTTCAATACTGCAACAAGCGGTGCTGCCCAGCTGTTTTCAGTCACTGGGGCCTGGTCGGACGGACAAGCTAAGCGGCACAACACTTGGGCCGTTACTAGAGATCAGGTGAGCATCCTTGGTTGAGGCCTCCATGGCGAGGCACATGCCCACGGCTCTGTTTAACCCCGGAGTCTTCTCAAACACAACACGCCGCTGAATCGGCTCGTCCGCCACTCCGATCGCCAGATGCTCTATCAATCTGCCCGGGGTTGTTTTCAAAAGAGTAGTGTTCTGATGCCTTTCGAAGTAGGCAGCGCACGCGCACTACCGACCGCGCTGCTGTGTCCCGAATGCCCGCCCCCCCTGCGTAGCCCGGTGATGCTGTGCCGGCGGACGCGCCGTCGACGGTTTGTGAGCGGTCGCGGCCGGTGATCCGGCCCGCACCCGGTATTGCGTGCTGAGACTAAATACAGCGAGGCCATGTTGCTCCGCTCTTACAGGTACGCAACCGGTTTAACAACAATGTACCTTCGTCAGACATACAAGAGTGGATCAAGCCGGTTACCTTGCAGGGAAGGCCAGTTAATGCCCGGTAAACAGGTTCATGTCTGAGGCAGGCAGGATCTGCCAACTTTCGTTGGCAACGGAAAAAACTGCATTCATGGTCCAAAATGGTATCGTGTGTGTCACGGTTGTGTCGCCTCCCGCACAAAAACTGAGCTGGCGTCCGGTCAACTAAGCTCAGGCGCTTTAATGCATGCTCTCCAACCATGAGTGGCTGCTGGTAAATACCTCAGCAATTACGCAATTCGGGCTTTAAGTGGATGTCTCTAGTTACAGTTCCCACCAGCATATTCAGATCAACAAGAAAACTTGAATCACTTATTTGCAAGCTTGTAAAAACCTAGCACACAGTTCTTTGTATGAAAGCTTTACTGTGACTGTAGATTCGCTGACAAGATCCTGTCAGTATACTGATTTGACGATCGAGTGGTCGTTTGAGACAAAAACATTTCAAATAAGCACATTTCGTTAAGTGTACGGCGCCAGCTAAGAGACGTGAAAATCCACAAGTATTCCCGTGAGCAGGGAATTTATTCGTTGTTGGAAGTGACCACTGCCACCATTCCGGGACGCACCAGACACACTGTTGCCGTTACAGTCTTTTGATGCGGAAGAGGGGGGAGGGGGGGGGGGGGGGGGCAGAACTGACGACGTAGACTATGCCGGTACAGTTCACTTTCCTGGGGTGTATTGGCCGTAGCTATGTCCGTTGCCTCCATTGCCGTAGCTTCCGCTACGGTAGCTTCCGCTGCCGTGGCCTCTAGTGCCGTAGTTTTCATTGTAGTCTCCACCACGGGACCAATAGTCGCGCCGACTGCCACCGCCTCCTTTGCCATAGTAATCATTGTTCCCTGGGTACTTGTTGTAAGAATGCCTATCGCCGTCGTAGCGGCTGCCGCTGCCACCCCTGCGCCTGTAGTAGTAGTAGTAGTCATCGCCATGGTCGTCATAGCCACGGGAGCCGCAGGCGACGCCCACCAAAGCCGCCAGCAGCACGACCTGGAGCAGGAATTACATCAATGAGCAATCAGGTGCACACATGTGCACCGGGTGAGCCGTGACAGTCGGGGAGAACGGGCGATGGCTCCACCCGCCGCCTGTTTCGGCAGATCAGGCCTGCCAACCAGTAAGGCAGCGTTAAGTAAAGCTAAGCTATAACAGTCGTGAATGATGTCAATCTTCATGATTTAGACAATCAAAACCTCGGCTACGGAACTCAGGAAGGCTGAAACCAGACAAATTTGTCGAAAATAGCATTGCAAATTTACATTAATTTACAGGAAAGGTTGCTGAATAAAGCTTTAGCGGCCTTGTTTGTACCGTCACTTGGTGGAGATTAGCTGGCTATGGTACTGGCGAGGCGGTGATAAGGTCAGCCAGCGACCAATATTAATTCATGGCGGCTTAACTTGTTTGCTGCTAAATATGGTTGGATATTGATTATGGTGAACTGGGCTACACATGCGGAAAGGCAGCTCGTTACTTCGGACACGGGTTTCAGACAAGACATTACCCAGTGCCGTTGGATTGCTGGTGCACCTATGGTCGAACAGTGTTACCATCGCTTCAGACTATGCGGACGATACGGTTGCCTGCACAGCTAGGCTGCCTTCACAACCATCGCTGACCTTGCTTGGAATTCGTTGATCTTTATTTTAGCATAATTAAGATAGGCATGTGGTAGAATTAAGAACATAATGCGTCTTTCTTTTATAAATGCAAGTAGAACAGAGACAATATAATACATTTTGCGACTTCATTAGAACAAAACCAGTCTTGAATTGTTAGTTCAAGCTGTTTTTTGACTTTCAAACATAACATACATAGCTATGCCTTGCATGCATGTGCCTGTATATGCATATGCACACACACACGCATATATATATATATATATATATATATATATATATATATATATATACATGTGTACCCATATCGCGTTTTGTTGATATATGAGCATATCAAGTGCACTTGCACCTATACTTGGAAATTTGTTTGCAGTCTGATCTTTATGAAGAGTGGCCTGATATGGGACTGGAATTCAATTTGCCAAAGGACAACTGCCGGAATCGGATTCGGGTTGAGATCTGGTTTGAGGAGTCTTTAAAACTGACTGGCATTCAACGCCAGATCCTTTTTTCTGAACTAGCATCTTTTCCATCCAACAAGAATCAAAACCAAATCTATTCACCTGCATCGTACTGACATGCCACCATAATCGAAATGAACATAATAAATAGAATGAAATATGACAGAAAAACGCCTGGACATTAAAACCACTTTGCACATGCGCTGCTACGTGGATGTTTTTCGCAACTGCGTGCCTCGGACATGTATCATGCAAGGTACCCAGCAAGGTCAAACCAACCAAGAATATGTTAAAGAATGTCCTCATCGCCAGTCGGCCACGTCCGTTTCGTGGAAAGCCAACAAACCCACGCCTGCACTCACCATCAGTATGAAGTTCATCACTGCTCTCTGCGAGGT